TTTTTTATTATTAATTATATTATATTTGATAAAACATCTATTATACATGAAATCTCTTTTGTATGTGTTAAATAATTGTAGTTGTTAAATAATTTTATTATTAATATTATTTTTTTCTTATAATATTAAACTATCTAGGAAGCAGCAGTCGCCCGTCATTTTGTAGCACTGTCGACAAATGGACAAAAAGTTAAAGAATTTGGTATTGATGTGAAAAATATGTTTGGCTTCTGGGATTGGGTTGGCGGACGTTATTCACTATGGTCAGCTATTGGCTTATCAATTTGTTTGTCAATTGGTTTTGATAACTTTGAAAAGCTTCTAAGTGGTGCACATTTTATGGATCAACATTTTTGCACAGCACCACTGGAGAAAAACGTAGGTTTACTGAGTGTAAATAGAATAGAATTCAAACTGTAGAGATTAATTGTGAAAGAAACAAAGATCTTAATATATATTTGAAAACTAGTAAGTTTTTTTTTAATAATATTAAAAATTAAAAATTATTACAAATATATATAAATGTGTGCAATGATTTATTCCAAACTCTTTTCAGGCACCTATCATATTAGCATTGCTTGGCATATGGTACCATAACTTTTATAAGGCAGAAACACATGCACTGTTACCATATGACCAATATCTACACAGATTTGCTGCTTATTTTCAACAAGGTGACATGGAAAGTAACGGGAAATATGTTACTCGTTCCGGAAAGACTGTAAATTATTCTACTGGTATGTCATGATATATATAACGAATGTAAATTGCACACTAATTTAAAATATGTTTTAAATCTGTTTAAATCTGTTATTCTTAGGGCCAATTGTGTGGGGGGAACCAGGCACTAATGGGCAGCACGCATTTTATCAATTGTTACACCAGGGTACAAGACTTGTACCAGCAGATTTCATAATTCCTGTTCAAACTCAAAACCAAGTAAATAATTTTTAGTAGCACTATTAGACTGCTATATATATATTAGTTAAAGAAATAAATATGTTCGAATTTATTTTATTTTAAAAATATTGATTTTTTTTAAATTCCTTACATATAATTCCTGTTTTTTAGCCCATCCAAATCACTATGTTTCCCGTGAAAAATTTTTATTTGTTGTAGATTGCTCCGCACCATACGATTTTACTTGCTAACTTTTTTGCGCAAACTGAAGCTTTAATGAAAGGCAAAAATGAGAACGAGGCTCGAGCGGAATTGCAAAAGTCAGGATTGAGCGCCGAACAAGTAGATTCACTATTACCACATAAGATATTTGAAGGAAATAGACCAACAAACAGCATTGTGGTAAAGAAATTAACACCTTTTGTTCTTGGTGCTTTGATTGGTAAATATCCCATTGTTATTGATATATTCAAATTGTTTGGTAAATCATGATAATTGATGACAGTTATATCTTATGAAAGAAACAAGTGTCGACATATAGGCAAATTGATATACATATATACATTACTTTCATATTTGAAATTAATTTTCTCGAGAATTATACAATTCAGTTTTTTCGTAAGAGAGACTATTTTCTTATAATTTTATTATGAATTGTATTATGATTTACTGGATATTATTTTGTATATTATAGTATAATCATGCACTTATATATAGACAATTGTCGTAATTTTTCATTTTTTTGTTCTCTTTTTAGCAATGTATGAACATAAAATTTTTATGCAAGGCGTTATCTGGGATATTAATTCTTACGACCAATGGGGGTAAGAAAAATATTTTTGCATGATTCAATTTTTTTTATTAATATATAGAAACGCTTTTGTGAAATTCAAAAGAAATTAATAATATTTTTATATACAGTGTGGAATTGGGGAAACAGTTAGCTAAAGCGATTGAACCAGAGCTGGCGAGCGCAGAAACTATCACAACGCACGACTCGTCAACTAATGGCTTGATAGCATTCGCTAAACGTAATAAAGCTTAAATACTTATTTATAGTAACGTTTTATTATAAAATGTTTAAAATAGACACAATTGAATATAAGTAGCTCTGTCCTAAGTTGCATTATTCATATCAGAGTCTATGTAGTTGGTAAAAAAAAGATTATCGGAAAAATATATAATTTGGGGTATTTTTATTTAAGATTCCTGATCCCTCTCCTGTAAATTTGAGTTAAATGTTAAATAGTTATGATACATAAAAATAAGATTAAGTTATCCAATGTATATAGTGCACAAAACGAAATTTTATAGGAATTTTTTTGCTAATATCACTTTAATATAGCTAGTAGGAAAGAATCTTCATTATGAAAATGATTTGATCACACATTTAAATTAACAAATTATGTTCTAACAATAAAATGTTATATCATCTTGAATATAGATATAAATGTTAGTTATAATCATATGCAGAAGATGAATCTATTTTTATGAGATATAGATACTTTTCTTGATTATTTTTCGTCTACTTTTGACAAATTTTTTTTATTACTTTCTATATGCATTAATCTAATTGCAGCTTTAACCTGACTCAGAAATAAAAAAATGGATATTGTTAAATAAATTTGTCTTGTTATAATATAATATAATTAATTAATTATAATTAATTATGTAGAGAGACATTCACATGATAAAATCAAGTTGAATAATAATTTATGTTATCAGATATATCATCATCATAAAATATAATGTCATCAATAATATTCGAATAATATATTTGAATAACGAGTGAAAAATAAGATAAAAAAAAGCGATAAGAATGCTTTCTTTGCTTAGATCAAATTATTAAAATGAAAATAAAGCATAGATAAAAAAGATCGTTTCCAATTTCAAACCAAAGTTATATGAGAGGTAACGAATTTAGGAAAATTATCAAATATATGTATATAAAACGCATATCTACAAGATAACAAATATATATATTAGAATCACATAAAAAAATTTTAAATAATTTTCTAACAATTATTAATATATGAAAGTTTAAATTTGCAAGGATAATAAATGCAATAGTAAAATCTAAATTTTATTTATTATTTGTTTCTATAAACTAATTTAATATTAGAAACCATTATTTATTTAAAAATCATATCAAATCATATTATATTAAAATAATTACATTAAAATCATATTAAAAAATCATATTATTATATATATTATAAAATCAATTTTCCTGCTATAATTAAGTGCATATCGCCTGCCATCAAAGTCGAAAGTGCTGCAAAGTGTGCAAAGTGTTGCGCACTTATTAACTAATATTCGGGAGTGAATAATCTGCATGTAAACGTAATTAATTGTTCTTATTAGTGAGTGCCACGATAAGGAACGACAACGGTGAAATAAGAGAGGCGGAGGAGGAGAAGGCCCGGGGCGACATCAGGTCATGGCGGTGTAACCATGAGGTGAATTATTTTATTATTATTTGTAAAATATTCGATTAAAGGAAAATTTCAATGCGCACAATAATTATTGTCTAAGGGTGTTTTCCAGCAAGGACACATAGAGAGACACAATATCACGCAATTGACTATCGAATAGAGAATTTTTAAAGCTCCGAAAATTTTTCTATTTGATAGCCAATTGCGTGATTTGTGCCTCTCTGTCTGTCCTTGCTGAAAAACATCCTAAGATTGTAACGATGCCTCTGGGGCATCGTTATTAACGAGTCTTCTGGGCCCCAGGCCGACCACCCGTCCGGAGAAAGAAGCTCGGCGCCCCTAACATCTGTATCTCTAGCGACCCTACCACGGAGCGCCATCCCACCACATTCTGTAGCGTGAGTGGGGATCGGGCCAGCCGGGTATAAAAGACGGGTCGACCGACGTTCCGGCACCTTTTCCTTTCCTGCTTCTGCTGTCCAACCTTCCAATAGCATCGGTTAGCGAGCGTTCTCGGTGTTCAGGATCCTATCTTTCTATCTAGTGCCGAGTGACGGGTATCTCCGGTGTCCGGCCTCCTGTCTCTGATATTCCCCGGGTGTTGGGCGCTCTCGCTGCTCTGCCGGGTGTTCTCGGTGTCCGGAGTCCCGTTCCTCCCTGTACAGCGATACAGTCTACGTGTCGCACTACGCCACATTCGTGTGGCAACAGGCCTCGTGCCTTAATAACGTTGGGACAGCAGTACCGCTTCGAGCAGGTGTGAGCCAGGCTTTACGCCTGGAGTTGTATAGAATAAGTATAAATAAAGGTTACCCTTGCCTCCTGCTCTTCTTACCGCTAGCCTGTTAGCCAGTAAGTTCGCCTGTTAGGGATAGAGACTACCGTTGCGACTCGGCTCCGCCGACCATTTACTGATAAGTCCGCGATGCGCTTAGCCGCCTGCGTTCCCGTGTAAATATATATAGTCACCCGTTAGTACATAAGTCTGCCCGTTGTGAATAAAGAATTCCTTCCTGCCTACTCGTACATAAGCATTAGTTATAAGTTAGTTATAAGGACTGATGTGTCCGTTGTGCTGTCTCGTCTCCGCGATTGTAGTTTGTTGTGTCCACTGCGTCCGATCATTGCATTTGTTCACTTTGTTCAATTTGTTCGTTACTTGCTCCGTCAATACATTGCGAGATTTATTTCATATGTATCCGTTTCTATAAAAACAAAATAAAGCCTAATTATATTATATTACGACGCCGCCTCCGCCGGTTCGTGATCGCGAATCCTGCTCCTTTTGCCAACCGAGATGCCGTCGACAGGCACCCGACCGTCCGCGAGCCCTTCCGCCACTTCCGAAATAGCCACCACGGATAATGCAAAGGCATTTAGTCACATCCGGAAGTGGGGATGCCTATTCGACGGAAAGGACCCGATATCATTCCTCGAGCGAGTCGAGGAACTCCATCGGGCTTATGGCTTCTCCGACAGGCAACTGCTCATGGGATTGCCCGAGCTACTACGCGGCAACCCGCTCCTGTGGTACCGCAACTGCCGAGACTCGTGGAACAACTGGACCGAGTTTAGCCGTGACTTTCGAGCCCGGTTCCTGCCCCCAGGATTTGAGAGGCAGCTCCGACGAACCATTCAGGGCCGGTGCCAGAAGCCACACGAACAATTTAATATATACGCTACTGAGATATTGACGATGATGCGGCGCGCCGGCGGGTACACTCCTCAAGACAAGATCGACAAGCTGTACGAAGGCATGGAACCCGAATATCGCCTGTACATCAACCGCAACGATATTTCCAGCGTAAGCGAGCTCACATCTCGCTTAATATAATAATATAATAATATAATAATATTTTCTATTCTATATTCTTATCAAGATTGATAAAAGAAAAACCGAAAAAAATAATGATTTGAATAAGAAATTTGCGCAGAAGAATTTACGATAATAGCTTATATAGATTTTTTAGTGCGAATTTTAAAAAGTTTAGCTCGCGATATCGATATATCTCTAATGCGATACCTGCCATATGACGCGTGACGCGTGGCGTATACATCGCATATCGCATATCGCATATCACATCAGCTGTTGTGTGTGGCGTCACGCGCCGGCGGGTACACTCCTCAAGACAAGATCGACAAGCTGTACGAAGGCATGGAACCCGAATATCGCCTGTACATCAACCGCAACGATATTTCCAGCGTAAGCGAGCTCACATCTCGCGCTAACGAGTACGAGGAGATCACTCGCCAACAGCAGGAGCGGCAACGAGGGACAAAGTCGACAGCCAGCCCCGTCATGTTGGTCAAGTTGCGGCAAAGACAGGATGCTCAGTCGCAATTGCCACCCGACGTCGGAAAACGGCTCCAGGATCGAAGACGCCGCTCCGACCAAGTCCACATAAGCTTCAATCCGCGACCGCATATCAGTATCCAGATACACCGGCATCACTTGTGGGCCCTTATCGATTCCGGCTCGGAAGTTTCGTTTGTGAGTACGGAGACCGCGCAAGATCTAACTGAGGGAACGTGCCGTCCCGCTCCAGCGGCCACCGAGATAAACCTTGCCAATGGAAGCCAAGTCCCGATTGAGGAAACATTTGATCTTCCCATCACGTTCCAGGGAGAAACTTTTTCTCACCGTTTCTCTGTGCTGCCGAATCTAAGCAGTTCCGTACTGATCGGCACCGATTTATGGGCCAAGTTGAGGCTCACCCTGCCTCCACCACCGCTGAGACATGAGACGCCGGTGTCGCTGCCCCCGGTGCTCGTCACCTTGGGCGATGGCCAAACGGTGGCGGTGCCGCATTACGCCGCGCATATCAGCCGGCGTTACCGGACGACGACTCCGACAGGACGATGGGTGATCCGGTTTGACTGGCACGGCCGACCCCGGATGATCCGACTCAACGAAGCTATTGGAACAACAGTACCGTCTTGAGCGAGTGAGTTAGTTATTCCTTAGTTGTTCGTTCATTGCGTTCATTCGTCGCATCCAGTGCATTGCGTTCACTGCGTTTGTTACTTTTGTGTTAATATATCGCGAGATTTATTATTCATATATATTTTTGTAAGAACTAAATAAAGCCTTTATTAAGGGGAAAGCGAGTTTGTGTGAGTCTCCCTCCTGCGCCCGAATCCTGACATTGGCGAGTCGATCCAGAGCGTCCAGAAAAGATGAATCGTTACAAAATATTTTTACATCATGAGTATGAGATTGATATAAAGTAATTAGCAATAATAAAACATAATTTTTATTAGAAAAAAAGATTGTTTTTACATATGCACAAAAGAAATTAAAATATTATTATATGACGAAATAATATTATTATATTAAATATTATTATAATTAAATTTTCTATCAATCACTCTACATGTAAACAGGATTTTCAGGAAATACAACAAGCAGAGGAGAGCACTATGAAGATATAATATATCAATAACATATTATTTTGATAAGTTTTGTCACAAATGTACATATAATTATTTAAAAATATACATTAAAATTATTCAAGATTACATTTTATAATTAATTAAATTTTTGAATTTATTTCTTAAATAAATTATAAAAAGTAAAGGAAAAAAAGAAAGAATAAGTAACATTAAAATTCTATTCTTATATATAAATGTAACGTTTATACATATTTATGCATCGACTCGAATTATACAATGTGTAAAAAATTGCATTGATAAGTGCAATCAATCCAAACATGGAGATGAATGTGAAAATTATGTATCACATGTAAGCTTTACTAACTTATACTTTCCTAAGGTTTCGGAAACACCGATTATGTGCCTGACATATTTCGCTCATTCCCAACAAAGCATTTTTTATATGTAAGCCTTGTCAATTTTTCGATTAAGTTATTAATATATAATATAATATGAATAAAATATATTTTTCTAGTTATTTAATCATTGTTCTTCTTTATATATCATCATCATCATCATCATTATCATCATCATCATCATCATCACGGAAAGAGTGCGATCTATTCTTTCAAGCGACACGATCGTCTGCAACATTTTTCCGTGTTCAAAGTGCGGTGACAACGTTGGGCCTGGGCGGTGTTGGTGTACTGTTGCTATGAAAAGCGATCTCTTCTAATCGAAAGAGTGAACAAATATGGAGATGGTAATCGCACAATATGAACATCTTCAGGAAAGAATACTACAAAACGTCAAATGCAACGGCGTACAACACCGGTACGGTTGACTTTTTATCGCCGAAGAATGAGATAACCTTCAAATGCGAACCGGTTGTTTTTATTATGAATGTTATATGTATTATATGTTATGTTATATGAATGTTATATTATATATGTTATATATGTTATATTATATTATATGGTATATCGGGGAGGATGTTAGAAGAACAAGGTGAGTTTACATGTGTATTTATGTTATTTAATATTTTTACAGACCAAACGCGAGTAGCGGATTGTGGTTGGGTATCTTGGTTGGTTTAAGTGCTGCAGTTACAATATTGAGGGAAGAGAACAGCTACTCCGAGATATGTCTGTGTGTTGGGACCACAGGCTTTGGTCTTGTTCTCAGTTCCATTTGCCTTTACACACGGCTTTCTATAGAGAAAGTTGCGGCAAAAGATTTTCACGCCATATATTTTCTGCCTGCGATTGTGACGTCTCTGCTCTTTCTACTTGTGGCTAACAAAGGTATATCAATCTGCAAATTATTTCTTGAAAAATCCTCGATTATATTGTGTTATAAATGGCATGCGTTTGATACAAAGAATTGAGTAATGAATGATACATGCAATTAGTTTCTGATTATATCTTTATATTAATTAAATAAATAAGAACAGGACTGCTAATGAGTGTCGTATGGGGTTTAACTGTCGGGAGTCTGGGCACATGGAGTGTCCTGCAACTAATGTCAGCTTTTCCATATTGCTTCACTATGGGAGAGGCAACAGCAGTTATGCATAGTTTCGTTTTGTTTTTGATGTCAGCTGTTACCAATTTACCCTTGCGATATCATTTACCTCCAATTCATGACAATGACATCAGCACAGTTGTGTTGCAGGTAGTGAAATGCAAAAATCTATTGTCTCGAGATATCTTGCTTATTTTTTCCATAACATTTCCTTAACATATCGTTACAGGTTGGAATATTGTATGTAGTGTTGGTTTGTCTCCTGTGTGGGTATTTTCCTATCCTGCGTAGTTCGAGATACTTTTATTTAATGACAGTCAACCTCATATGTTTTATAACTCTTCCAATACTTTACATTATTCTTGATCAAAACCCAGTAATGTGGGTAATTTCTTTTGTTTTTAGCAGTAATGAAAGGGTAAGCTATCTATACAAAAATGTGATGTTTTATTGTGTAATTTACATTACTTTTGAAAAATATATGAATTATTTATGGTAAAGAGATTATGCAAATTTAATTATCAATTTTGTTTTGATTTGAAATGTTGCAGATTGCAATAATTTTATATTGGGCAATATGTCTTTTGCTAAGTGTCTTTACAATTCTGTATCAGATATTATCAAAAAGCCAAGCTACAACGTCGACTAGAAAATATTTTCATGTATTAGCGGTATTTGTATATATCCCTGGCATGATATATGACCCATCACTTTTATATCTTGCCAGTGGCATGATATTGGCGTTATTTATTATTATTGAGGTACTTATAATTATCGTATATATCAGTTATTTAAAATTTCCATTTATATTTTTAAATATGATAATTGTTGGTAAATTTACATATTAGGTAATCCGATTTTTGAACGTGCCACCTTTGGGAGAAATTTTACAGCAAGGATTTGCTGCATTTGCTGATGAAAAGGACTCTTTGCTCTCATTGACACCCATATATTTATTCTGCGGGCTATCGTTTCCTCTTTGGATGCCAACTAATAATTTGACACTATTGGTATTACTCAGTGGTGTGTTAACAGTAGGAATTGGTGATACCGCTGCTAGCTTTGTTGGTAACAAATGGGGTTCGCACAAGTGGTTGGGCACAAAGAAAAGTATTGAAGGCACTATTGCGTGCATATTTTTCCAAGTTTGCGTTATATTCGGTCTAACATGTTGCGGTACATATTTCAATTCTTATATCTTCTGATACTTTTTTATTTTTGAAGCTGTTAGTTTTAGTATTTCTGGTTATTTATATTTTGCTAGGTCTCATGGACAATCACTGGTTATTGCTGAGAAGCATTCTGGCCGCCATATCAATATCATTGATCGAAGGGCGCACAAATCAAATGGACAATCTGGCTCTGCCCTTATTAATGTATGTGTGTTTGATGATATAAGCGCGTATTGTTCTTCCAAATTCAATAGCTTAGTCCAATTAGTTTAAACTAATTTTTAAAGACATAATATACTATCATATCATAGCTAATTTCTAAACGCCTTCTATAATGATGAAAATATAAATAACTTTTATAGAACGTTTTTAATCATCTTTTTAGCTGTCAGAATATAATATTATTGATTGATAAATATATATAATCGCATATTATTTAATAAACCGTTGCACTGCGCGCATGTAATTAGCTGCAATCGAAGATTACGGATTGCTGATAGACTGCTTAATTTGTGAGAGACATTAGCGTTATTTTTAATTAATTGATTGTACAAAGCAACATGTATAATGGGCATTTAATTAGAAAGATGCAGTTAATAAGAAATGTTGCAATTATCTTTATATATGTATAAATATGCATATACGTTATGTTATTAAGCGATGATGCAGTACAAATATTTATACTTATAAAAGCATAACACATATATTTATCTGTGCATATATATATATATATATATATATATATATATATCGATCTGCAACTATGTAGGCGCCTACGTACATGAGAGACCATCCATTTACCTTGCTACGCAGTGGATGTACATAAGCGTAGCTACCTCTCTTCTCAACTTGGCGTCGCGCCTGCAGCTACGGCAGATACATAGGCGCGATATATATAAGCCAAGCACATACCGTGGCAGTGGCTCTTTCGCTGTCCTACATTGAAAATTGAAGGTCCTGCGGAAAATAGCGCGACGTGATGTAACAGGAGAGATCGTTTATATCGTTACGTCCCTTTCTTTTAAATAATAAGTGCATTTAAAATGTGTCCAAAATAAGATCGTTTACATATCGGCTTTTTAGAGTAAGA